ACAATGAATTTGAACTGGAGTGACAAAAAAGTAAAGACAAAGAATTTACTCGGTTGTTTTGAAATAAATTCAATGTTTCGGACTTCAGTACACGGTTTTTTTCCCGACTTCTCACGCGCTTATAACATGGTTCGAGTTATCAAGGATAAAATTGTACAGAAATGAGCTGAAGGGAAACAAAAATTACTTCGAGTTAGCGGGAGGTTCGAGTAATCGAGGGTTCGAGTTGCCGAGGGTAAAATTACAGTAAATGTAAGACGGAAAACCATGGGAAATCGACTTTGGTTCGAGTTAGCGTACCGGGAGTCACGCAGGATAAAATCGACCGTTGAGCTTTTCTGTGGCTTATTTTTGTAAAATTTAGCAATTTTTTGTAAAATTTTATTACAAATTCAAAGTAAGATTTCAGTCTGATTTCAGTGAAAGTTTTACACGTTCTTCATCACAAGACTAGGATGTTATTATTTGGGGACTGGCTCGATTTGTGTTTATCTGAGGGGGAGGGGTACTGCAAAAGAGACAGTCTCCAGATTTTAGATCTTCAGAGGTTTGTATCTTTAGAAATACTTGAGTTTCTGATTTCAATGTCCATATTCCTTATAATCTTGGTAGCATACTTTAGGGACATTTGGTTGTGGATGTGCAGCCATGTCCCATTTCTGATTTCAACCCAAAACCTCTCTTCACCGAAGAGACACTCGATCGACTGGTATTCCAAAAATAAAATAATATTTTGAAAAAAAAAAGTGAGCATGTTTTCTTTTCCCCTCATCGCAGCACTTAGCAACGGTAACCCTAATGCCAGGGTAATCCTCTCTTCCTTCTAAACATTTCCGATAAAAATAAATAAGAAGAAATGTGTAAATGCTAGTCAGAGTAACCCTTTTGCTAGGATAACCCTAGTACTAGGCTATCATCCCTCCTTGGAATCAGGCCCTTGAGCTTGTCAATGATAATGTTGGCCTGACTTAATTTAAACTTTTGTGATGGTTTTTCTCTCATCATTAATCTGTTCCATGGCCAACACCAAAAAGATATTTTTTTCTATGGCTACGATGGAGAATGTGGATAATCATATTCCACCATCTCTTTGCATTAACTTTACACAAGTGATAGAAATTATAGCCATATTTTGTTTATAAAATAATGAAAGGGTCTTTTATTTTTCAAGCAAAATATGATACCGGTATATTAACTGGTAACTAATATGTGCGGGAAAATACATGGGCTAGTCAACCTAAGTATTACCCAGTACTTCTGATTGGTGAAGACAGCTTTGGTACATGATTTTTAACCAATCACAGTGGTATACATGTAGCTCAGGGCCAAGGTGTGCAAATATTAATTAGTGCAAATTAAGGGTTGATCTCTGTGACAACTCATAATGGTCTGTTTGGATTTAACCCAGGATTAGTACTATCTTAAGTCACTCTTAAGTGACATGGGAATGGGCTGAGATTAAATTAGTAATTGATCAACACAAATAATCAGATTGTTCAGTGATAACTGACTGAACAGTTTGCAGAATCGATTTTTATGCCGCTTAAGGTTTTGAACAATCAGTGATGGCTTATAATCGATGACAATCATACAATTTTCTGCATCATGTGTTTCACTATAAAATTAACTTAACTAAAAACAATGATCATTTTCCCTCTGATATTTTTGTTAGGCCCTGAGAAAATAAACCTTCAAGAAGCTGGTTTTCTGTTATGGAAGGAACTGTGAGGGTGTTTGTGTATGGCACATTGAAAAAAGGATTTGCAAATCACTATCTAATGCAGGATGGCTTGCATGGAGTGGCCAGGTTTCTAACAAAAGGTCAGACAAAGGACGCTTATCCACTAGTCGTTGGAACAGATGCAGGCATTCCATTTCTGCTACCTTTGGAAGGCAAAGGAAAGGTACCACTATAAAAATTGAATTATTTTTATTATACAACTACTTGAGAAATTTCTACAATTTGATTGGCTTAGAGCAGTGGTATTTCAGCTTAATTTGAAATAGCAACATGTGAAAATTACAAAACCTTTGCAGGTAGTAGTATAAACAAATAATATCATGATTTGTATATGATATTAGGCATAAATACCACTCCAGATATTTCAAAATTGCCTCAAATTTCACAGGCCTAACGACTCGTGAAATTACGCATAACAATTTCGAAATATCACTCATGGTATTTATGCCAAATATTACTGCAAATCATGCTATTACCTACACTAATTATGAATATATTACCTGTAATTCCAATAAAACCACATGTATTATGTCCTTTTGTCAACTGAGTTGTTTAAAGATATTTACTGAAAATATGTTTGTCAACTTAGGCGATGTGTAGAGAACAAAATTATGTTTCATTATTTGCCTGGGACCAACATCCTTAGTGGACAAAAGGGCAAATAATCGGGCTAGTCAAGTGCGATTAAAGAGGCCAACCAAGCAGAGGATTAAGGAAGGAAAGGAGCTGTTTCCCCATCCACAGTCCCTCATTGATTTGTTTGGGATATCCAAAACACTGATGTAATATTATCACTTGTGATTTGGGTATGGGGAATTACCCATAACACAGGGATACCAAAATCACTGTGACAGTACCCTGTTATTTCCTCTTTTCCCTTCCAGGGAGCCTGGTCCCGGGCTGTGCTTCACCCTGAAAATCGTCTATTAGACAAAAGTATCTTTTTTCCTTAGTACATTCTAAGTATGCATGCATATTACTGGTGCTAATTTAAGTGTAGATGACATAACCAAGGCTGTGCTCTAAGAAAAATTAAAGGGAGCCCAGTGTTCAGAACTTGTGAAATCTAGTGTGCCCAGTATATGATTTCTATGAAAAAGCAAACATTTTCTAGTCGCCCGAGAACAAAAGTGGGCGCCACGAGCCACCGGGGTCTGCTAGAGCACAGCCTTGATAACATCAAGTCAATGCCCAGGAAAATATCTATTAAACAGAGCAAAATTTCTGCTATGTATTAAAAAGCATGCTGCCCTGCTATGGGCTTGGCAGCAAATAACCACGCAAATATATGAATTAGCTGACGTGTTTTCTTTTAAACAGCAAGTTCATGGTGAAATCTATGAAGTGGATCGCAATGTTCTCAGTGTGCTGGACGAATTAGAAGGACATCCAAAATGGTACAGGCGTACATTGTGTGAAATAATAGCAACTGAAAAAGTATCTGGAATTGATGTAGGAGATGTTGTTCAGTGCTCTGCGTACTTTTTAACCAACTTTGCACAAACATTTCTTTCCCAAGAGTTTCGTAGTGAGTATACAGTGCAAGAACATAACCTTACATATACTGAAAATAGCAACAGAAACAAGTATTGTGATGTTAAATCACAGTCTCAAGAAAACTAGCAATAAATGTTTTTAAATGAATATTCAGTTGAACCTGCTTTGATCTGTTGTTTATTTGAAGTTTGTAATGTTAACATATACAAAGATAAAAGTTTTTTAACAGTTTTACTGAAAATACTAGTTAATAATAGTTAAATGCTAGTTTCAGGGGTGTGTGGAATAAAGTCCAAAGCAACTCCTGGTCCAATTGAGGGTCATAATTATTCTTTCCTTGATTTACAAGCATATAGAACTAAAATTGGAAGGAAGCATTATGCACTTTATCAGAAGTCACTTTGGGATTTATTCCTGACCAGGTAACCTTTCACTTTTTACTGGAGAGATTGCATTAGTGAAATGTGAAATGGCGAGGAAAAAAAATAAGTACGCATATTTAGTGGTCAGAAGAATTCACAAGCTCAGCTCTTATATTAAGTAAAAGGTCCCTAACAGACTGTATACACTCAAAAAAGATAAAATTAAAGATCTTCAGTAGAACACATAATAAATTTAATCATGTTGCATGTACATGCTAACAATGGTAACACCTATTAGCAGGCAATTACAAGTAAGATACAAATAAAACACTGCAGATAAAATGTTCAGCCCTTTCACACTTTTTAATAATCAGCACTTGCTTAAAACAACATACATTTTATATGCTTTTTGCATTATCACAGTCACTTAGCTTTTGAAGCTCAACAGCTCAAAACTATTTTCTCACACGTAATATGTTTCCCTTTTGAAGAAATACTGAAAAGGGGAGACCAGGCTACATTTTGTTTACTTTTTTTCATGTACGTGTAAAGATTTGGCACTGTTCTGTAGAAACCTTAAGCACAACAGGAGGATAAAATAATGTGGAATCTAGCCTCTACTATGCAAGAATAGTAACTTGACAGACACAGTATACATTGCAACAAGTTTTATGACTAAGTTAATGTTTGTTTCAGTTTCGCTCAACCCTCTCAAAACTGGATCAACATGATTGAAGTTCAACTCAATACAATTTGAACTCCAATACACATCCATAAACAAACTGACACAGACCAAAGAACAGCCTCAGAATCCATACACAGTCTGTACAGGAGAATGTTTGGCCCACAAACACTTCAACATGACCACTATCTTGGACCAAAAAACTCTCTAATGTTGTCTAGTAAGCAATAACTGTTTATTCTCAAATCCAGTCACTCCTTATTTTCACACACAAAATCTGTTAACATTAAAATTTATCATTACAAAGGCCATTTAATACTGGTATAAACGATTTTATCCATATAAAAATGAACCTCTTTATAGTCTGTACTTGTAAATTGTGGGGCTGTTCTTTTAGACTGTTCAAGTTTGACCATCTTAGACAACCCTTACACTCCAGTACAACCACAGAGAGCACAGGGAATGAGTGAAATAATTTTCAACACAAGAAGATAATTTTCGTATCTCCAAGGGGCCATGAAATGTTTTACTTAATGTATAAACACCAGTGAAATACCAAACCATTTCTGTGAAAGGTGCAATTTATTATGTAACCATAGCAGCGGTGATCTTTTCATGCATGAAGATATCATGATTTTGTGCGAAAGCTCACCGTCCTGGTACTTCATTTGCATTTAGATAATAAAAATATTTATCTAACTCTTTAACTACCTGCTTACTAAGTTCTGTATGGTGAGCCAGGTCGAGAGGCATTTTTTGTGCTTGACACATAACTATAAATCGCTTTCTCCAAAAGTTCTGCCCTCTTCATTTCTTCATCATGAATTCTTTTGATGTCATTTTCTTTGGCTCTCAGTTGCTCATTTAACAGCTCCAACTGATTATCTTTCAATGAGATAGCATCCTTGTGTTTTCGGGACATATCAGAGATTTTATCCTCTAAATCAGAAATCTTGTCCCTTAGCTCAGCCTGTGTTTTTCTCTCTGAATCAAGTTCGATTCTTGATCGACTAACTTCATTCCTATAATCTGCATCCCTGTGCTCTAGCTGTTGTTTAAGTGTTTCCAGTTGTCTCTTAGAAGCTTCATTATCTCTGTTTGCTGTGTTAAGCTGTGACTGCAAATCTGTGATTTGTGACAGCTGTTTTGTACTCTGTATTTGTAGCTCATTCTGTGCTGTTTGAACCTGGGAAATATGTTCATCATATTGCCTGGACTGAGTTATTTCCTCCTGCTTTAATCTCGTTTTGGTATTCCTTAGTTCCTCATCTGATGTTAATTTTAGAGAGACTAACTGAGATTTCAAGTTGCTTATTTCCTCTTCAAAAGCAGTCTTGTCTTCCTCTAACTTCTTCACTTTCTCCCTTGAAGCTTCTCGATATTCTAAAGCCTTTTGCTGCAGTTGATTCAGTTCTTTTTGCAGCCTGTTTTCTGTGCTGAGGAGTTCTTCCTGAAATTTTTGATCACTAGCTTTTCCTCTCTCAGCAAACTGTCTTTCCATTCTCTCCATATCCTCTTCTAAAGACTGTATTTTATTCTCCAAACTCTTGTTTTTTCGTTCAAGGACACTAATGATGTTTTCTAGCTCTTGGTTTTTCTCCAGCACCTCGTTATATTTCTTTCTTTGCTGTTTTTCTGCCATGGCCTTCTGTTCTTTTTTGTCTTGCAGTTCAGTGCCCAACTTCTTTACAACAACTTTTTGTTCAGAGATGGTTTTCTTTGAAAGAAGCAATTCAGACTCAGCGGACGAGAGTTTTGATGACAAAGAATCAAATGCTGCTTTTCGTTCTTCCAACGCTGACTTTAAATGATCTATCTGATTTTGTGTGCTTCTTGTCAGAAGTTCATGACTTGATCTCTGCTTGTCAATCTCTTCCCTTAAACATGAAACCTGCAAACAAAAGAGATTCCAGAATAATTATTAATCAACCACGTGTTGGTAAGATGCATTATAATTAGATGCAACAACACTGGTGACTCTAAGAAAGGGATAGGCATGCATAAAATCCCAATAATCAGTTCCTGAATTAATAGCTTGCTCGCAGGCTAGAATTAATTTGTCTTATTATTCATTGAAAATATTTCCCCGATTCTGATTGGGTAAAAGCACACGCATAATTCACCACAACCAGTTACTGATGACCAAATTTGGAAGAATTTTGTTTTTAGCGAGGAAATGACGTCAAAAATGCAGCATTTTTGCAGGTTAAGGCACCGTCAACCAAGAAGACCTGGGGACGAGGTTGAGTTGTTTTGGTAGTGGAAACAAAAATGGCAGACATTTCACTTATTTCAAGAGTAAGAACTAGGCGCAAAAAAAAATAGCTAAAAACATGGCGAGAACAGTAAGAAGACAACTCGAAGGGCGACATCTGCTATTTGGAGAATATTTGCGGCGCTCAACAACCCTAAACGTGCACTACGGCCTCGACGGATAACACCCTCCTTAATCTCCATAATTCTTCATAAGATACTCAGGCTCAGCCATTAATTATTGTTAATTATGACATCACCTATGAACCTGTCAATTTCATGATCAGCAGAACAGGTGCGCGGAAGAAATTTAGACTTAAAAGTTTCTAAAAAATTCCCTTTCTCAAAAAAAATTGGTATAGGCACTCATTAATGAGACTAACATGCAACTTCACTAACAGTTTCTGACAACTGACAACCCGCAAGTCCGGTGGTTTGTTGAGGTCTCCTTTCCAAAAACAAAGCATTAAATTCTGCCCTTCAATAAGGAAGAAAACATTAAATTTTATTCTCCTTATTGAATTTAAGACTTTCAAGTAATATATCAAGCATGAGATGCCGTGTTCCATTACCAGATGAAACACCAAGAAGAGAGTTGAAAATAAGACACCAACGAGTGTTTTTGACAATTTTTGAGGTGTTTTATCTGGTGATGAAACCTTGTGTCGAATGCTTGATATTACATGTCAAACAAGATTTTAGCAGGAGAAATTAAGGATGCAAAAATGAGCAGTTTTTCATCTGATTTCCGAACACTCATTCCACATTAATTTCCTTTCTACTTTCTTTATGAATTGGTAATGAGTTTGAGAAAAAGTTAAACACAACAGCAACAAGAACCCTGTGCAAATATCATCACTGTTTGACTCTGATAATAACTTCAGCCAAGGTTGTGGAAACATTGCTATAACTTTCATGACTAAATAGTACTGTTCTTGGCGACACTCAACCAGACAACAGGTAATAATAAATAAAATAATATCATAATTATTATGATATCATTGTTCTGTGCATGATGATCTTGAACAGATGGATCCATACCTCTTGTTGTTTACGTTCCTGAGCCATTTCTAATTCTCTTGTTAAAGCTTCAGTCTTTTGCCTGTGCTCCTCAAATGTTACCTGTCTATCACTGTTCTGTTGAATGGCAACAGACAAAGCATTGACAATATCATGAGGGATGTTGTTACCTGCAAATGATAAATGTTATAGAATTAACATAATGTTAACTATGAATTACTATAAAATTATTTGAATTACTAAATTTTACCAAAAAGGGAATAAAGTGATCCTATTCTGTGAAAAAAAAAAACAATGTAAAAACTCAGAGTTCAGTCTCCTTATAATGTCAAGCATCCCTTCTGAAAGAATTGCAGCTAAAAGATATAGTACAGTCAAAATGCTCTTAACAGACACCCACTTAATATGGACACCTCATTATTACAGACAGTTTGCAGTGTCCTTGTGCAAAGCTCGTACATTTATTCAAAATTCAACCTGATTAATACTGACACCAGTAATGTGGACAAAGGACACTTGTTTTGTACCCAATGAACCAATGAACAGATTCTCATAGAAAGTCAACTTTGCTAATGCGGACACCATGTGCTGTAAAAAATTTGACAATGCTAATGTCCTGTTATATTTTTTAGTATTTTGTTATAATAAAAGGAGTATTTTTTACTTAAATAACATGATCTGCTTAATACGCACAGCCCATTAACTCTGACACTTTCTATGGCCCCCTCAGTGTCTATAATAACGGAGACGGACTGTACAGTGACACCTGGCTGCCAATACATGTGGTGGAGGGGAGTGGTGCATAATTCCCTGTTCATGTCAAGGCTGCTGCTTAACAGGCGCCCAGTCACCAGAGGCTCCTACAATTTGCTCATGGGCCACTGAAATTAAATCAAGGAGCCTGCACGGACGCCTAAAACTTATGATTCTTATGGCAATAGCCTCTATGCCTACTTCCAATGACAGAATTCCCTGCTCATTTTGCACTTTTGAAATGAAAACGTTAAATGTGTCTTCATCGACCTTAAGCAAAACTCTTCCACTGATAAAAGTTAACAGACAAGCACTTTTCTGGAAATTCGAAACTCAAACAACTTGAGTTTCGAGCATCTGCTTACTTATATTTAATTTTATTGAACAATGGGCTCCTGGAAATGTGGCTCGGGCTGCTAACTTTTTATTTTAGGTTATCAGCCTGAAGGGTTCCCAAAAAAATTTTCTTAGGCAGCAGCCTTGCATGTATATTATTTTTACCTGTTAGTTCTAATCCTACAAGTCTTTTGTTATATTTTAAGGCTTCCAGCAGCTCTCTTCCCCCAAGAAGACCAATGTTATTCCATCTCAAATCCAGACCTCTTA